GGCCAGGCATGAAAATCCTCTGAGGAAAGGAGTAAAATACCAAACAAACCCAACAGCAGTGCATGTGGAGCAAGGCTCACCTAGTCGTGCCAAAAAGCATATTTAGGAAAACAAGCGGATTCCAGTATTGATATGATGTCTTGAGTAGGAATGGCTAATTCCTTCAAATACATTAAAGTAGCGATCTATCTGTGAAAAATGAGATTAAAGCAGAAAAGGCGCTCCGTCTGATTGCATTTTAAAAGACAGGCCTATATCATCCCTGCTTTAATCAGATTCCCAGAGGTGCAGTCATTCCTGGCTCACTGAAGTTAAAAAAAAACAAAACAAAACCCAACAACTGGTAACATCTGCCAGCTATCTGATCAGTGCACACTATTAACAGGGTGTCTTAAAAATATATGCGGAGATGCAGGCTATGAGCTGAAAAGCTGGGCTCCAAATGGATCAAAATATATTCAGAATCAGCCATCAGCAAATACTCCCAGTGGAAACCAGCATTTGGTGAAACATCAGCTGTCCTCCTTGGAGGGCCATTAGGCAGCTTTTGACCCGTAGGAGATGTTTAGAGCCAATACTTCTTACCAATCTCAGGAAAAGGAATAAAAAGCAGCCCAGCCCCAAACATGGCAGCCAAACAATGCACTGCGCAGAGGATTAACCATTTTATGAAACCAAATGACAAACACGGCCACACAGGCCAGGGCAGTGGGGGCAGGTCTGGGGACTCTCTGCAACTGATGGCTGCAGCTGAGATGAGCTGCCCATCAACTGTTCAAGAGCAATTTTTCAATAGTGATTTTGCTACAGCAGAGGAGCAGGTAGACCTTAGAAAATTATGTTAGCTTAAAGCCCATCTTTGTATCCAAAGCAAAGTTTATCATTAAGAACTTGCTATTTTATTGTGTCTTGCACCACGTGTCTTTACAAAAAAAAAAAACCACCCTGAATGAACAACCACTTTTTCAAGTAATTACAATAGTGTTAGATAGTTCAGATTTTCCTCTGCTAAAGATTAATATTAAATCACTGAAACAATATTTAACTAGTCAAATAAAAACAAGTTAATGAGTTTTGTAAAATATTTCCCATTTCAAGTTATTTTCAGAAAGTTAAGAAAAAATGGTAACTACTTTAAAAATGATACAAACTTTTTCATGATACAGTTGTTTCTCAATAAAAACTATTATGCAATAATAGAGTGCCTGAATTGGAAGGGACAGAGACAAATGCTCAAATTATAACCATCTTGCTAGCTTATAGATAGTAAGTAAAATAAACTTATGTCTCATTGCTGTTACTTTTCTACTTAATTTCATCACTAAGGAGTGCCACAAAACTAATGGGCATGTATATATAAAGTGACAGGAAAAAATGCTGTAAAGACCTCTTGGCATGGCATTTAATAGCTGAAAAATATTCTTGATGTCTTTGGTAAATAAATGTCAAGCCTTAATTACACAGTTTGCTAACCTTGTTTCCCTAGGCACAGATGGCAGGGTCAGAAATGAGCCAAAGCAGACAGAAACTGTATTCCATGTCTATTCTGAGGGCTATCATAAGCCATCCTACTAGACAGCAGTATACACATAATTAAAAATTCATTTTATGGGGTCAGTGATGAAACAAAACTCAGATCTCTGGTTTCCCAAGGGAGTGATCTGACATCTAGATAAAGAAGAAGCTGTTCTAATTCCGGAGAGAGTCCCATTAAACCTGTAATTCTATTCACAACAACACAGCCTGATGCAAGAACCTCTGCCATGGCTGTTTGGTCACACAGGCTCGTCCATTCCTCCTTTGGAGTGTCTTCTGACTTGTAACTGAATTGGTGGTCTGCTTTGCACACTCGTATTTTCATCATAGCACTATACGAAGGGGATCGAGTTCCGTTAATTGCAGACTTGTTAATGTTCTCTGGATAAAAGTATTTTGTGAGGTGCTGGGGTTCCTGCACGCCCTGACCCAGGGGTGCTCCTGTCTCCCCTGAGCCCACCCCCACCCCAGGGTGCTGCTGCCAGAGCCCACCAGAGGATGGGCAATGGCAAGACAGGGTTCCCTCTCCCAGCCGCTATGGCATCCCCCAGCCTGTATAGGGGCCAGGGTCTCCTCCTCCTCGGTATGAGATGCTACCAACAAAGCACACAGACCGCTGCGGAGAAAAGCCTTCCTCCACCCGACAGCCACACCGGGGCCGGAGAGCAGCACTTACTCTACATAGTAGACACCATATACGGGATCCTCAATTTTCTCCCAACCAGCAGGCAACTCTGGAAATAGAAAAAGCATTACTGAAGCCTCCAGTGAAGTTTTTTTTTTTATAGGTCCTGCTCAGCATGCAAAACTCATCAGTAGCTCAGACTTTGCTTCGAACACTTTTCAGAACAATCACAGCCTCCTTTTAAAGGCTGGCATAGCACGGCACTAACATCATAGCCTGTCCCACCAGCGCTGGGTTAGCAAATCAATGGGAAGATGCCCACGACAGTCAATTTTAGATTTGCTTTTTGCATTAAATGAACAAATTATCAATAAATTTCCTTTCTGGGAGTGCCTCAAGTACCCTCCTGGTTTGACCACCACGGCTGTGGATGGAGGCACTGCCGTGGAAGTCGATGCAGGCAACAGGCCAGAGGCATTTTAACACCAGCATATGAAGATGGGTGAGATGATGGCAAGCAATTGTAGCACACTAACAGAGAGACCACTTTCATCTCCTGTACCAGGGCCGAGCCATTTATGCTCACCACTGCTGAAAAAAGTTTTTTTTGACTCCTTTCTTAGGGATTTACACTGCATCGCTCATCTGCGAGCCCAATGCAAAAGTGCATCTTGAAACAGGACAAAGAGTTTAACGCAAACGCCCGGCATATGGAATCCACCCAAGTGGGGCTGGCACACACAGATGTATTTCACTGCACAGCACTTAATGTAAAAACACATATTGCCATAATCACATGTAACAGAGATTTCCTTTTTTAATTAGCATAATTAACAAAAAACAGTTCTGAAGATGAAATTAACATTTGGAAATGTATTCACTTTTGTTCCTATTGATTTTCTAGACTGCACATACTTTAACTATAATTAGCGAATGTAATAAAATCACTTCAGCATCCAACTGAGGGTTATTAAAGCTGGATGTATTACTTAAGGGCCTGATCCTTGTCCCACTCATTTAAACACAATGTTCCCGTTGGCTCTGTGTACTGAAATAATCATCCTATGAACAATACAGAGTGGTGTGTTTGTGTAATACTGCGAATCAACTTGAACGAAGGCTCCACCACGCTATGGACTTGTGCAAGTGTAGTCCTTGCCCCACAGACTCTACACATTCATTTAAATAAAAATAATAATAATAAAAAAAAGCCATTGTCAGATAACACAAGTTCAAATACTCCATGCGAAACAATTCCTCAAAATTTATCTCTAAATTGACAAGACTGATAGCAAATAATCTATGTTTGTTTATTATCAAGTGCAAAGATTTATTTTCATGAATGGCATCAATTGCTGAGCCAATGCAATCAACAATGGCCCATTAATTACAGTAAGTGTAACTATCTAGTTCTGCATTTATAGACTTCAGCTATGTTGCCATAAGGATAGAAGTCTCTCCAGACTGGAGATGAACAGAATCTATACAAACACACATGGACTAATTACTTAAAGTTTATGTTTGTGTTCAGAATTGGCTGGAGATCAGATGAAATCGATTTTCATGGTTTTTGCTCCACATGTCCCTTATTTGCTGATATAAAGTAGGTTTTCCATTTTTATCATTATTTTATCCTTATTGGGTTTAACATCTTTGGATTCCTTGAGACATAAGCAATTAAATGCAAGCCAGCGCTAACTCTTGGGCATGAAAATACTCCACAATTTTATCAGCAGATCAATCTGAAATGAACGCTTCAGAAACAGATATTCCTTTAGACGGTGCAAGTGTATGTGAGAAACAGTTAGGAAGCTAGAGGCCAATCTTGAAGTCTTCTCGCAAAGGGAACTCTCACGTTTGCAAAGGAGTCTCACATGGTGAAAATACCGTGGACTGGCTTAAGGAGTTTCAGTGCAACTAAATTAAGACCTAGCATTCAATCAGGAAAATCACAAGTTGTGGCAGCCATTTAATTCTTTGCACTATGGTGAAAGTAAAATGGAAAAGAGACCAAGCTGGGGGTGGAAGGAAAAAAAAAAAAAAAAAAGAATGGGGGAAAGGAGAAGTAATGTACAAATGTCTTAAAGTGAGTTTTTCACAATTTTTCCTGCTAAATATCTTTTACCTATTTTGGACTACTAAGTGTTTCTGATTTTTAAAGCTCAAGCAAAAATGTTTTGATTTTCTTTTGTTCGCAAAAACTTTTGCTATTAAATTTTATTTTTTCTTTTCTTTTAAAGAATTTTCATGGAAGGTCAGAAAACCAGCACTTTTCTAACCCCAAAAATGGTATTGCGCCAAACTCTTCCCAGTTTTCTCTCTCTGCAGCTTTCCATGTAAGGAACACTTGTCTATGTTTTCGGAAGCAACAATACACAAAACTGCAGCTTTCAACACATTACTTGTTGATTACGTAGATGCGCTTTCCAACTTCTAAAAGCCTCTGAAATTTCTCTAAAGCAAAAGGCAATATTCTCCATAGCCATGTTGCACAGTCTGGCTTCTTAGCAGCTTTAAATTATTCATCTCCCTTCTCTACCTCTCCTGCCAAACTGAAGATGACCCAGAGCATTAGATTTTATCACAAATACAAGATTTCCAAAAACATTTTGCATCATTAGGAGTCGAGTGAGCCATATGGTTTTTATTTTGGTACATCCATGCAGCACTGCAGTCTCAGAGCATTTGTCAGCAGGTAAATTCAATGGACAAATATCCAATTTTACACTTTTAAGCCTGGGGTAGATACATGGATTCCTACTGAGATGCTCTTGTTTAGTATCCAACCCTACAGAGGGGATGGATAGATTCCTAAAAAAGAACTTTCCAACCACCAGGTATTTTAGTTGCACCCATGCATCACTATAAAGGAGCTGGAGATGACCTCCATCTGCTCAGCTCTTACTGCTCCCTGTGAGGCCAGGAGGATCTGCCCAAGCACATGTCAAATTCTACTCTAAAGGTTAAAGTTTTGTGTCCTTTTGTACAACATTCTGTTAAAAAGAGGTGACCTATTACTCCATATGCAACCCACCTTTTTGGAAAACAAAAAGTTGTGCAAATGGTTCAAGTTTTAATTTTCTTCTATTTAGAACAGAAACTGCTGATAAGCTAAGGAGCTAAATATCTGGTGGCAACCAGTTTATACTAACCACGAGTATGGTTAGTGAATAGGCCAGATCTTTTCATGCCCCCTCCCTAACATTGCTGTAACCAACAGGGCCATTTGAAAATGTCTTACTTTACACTGCAACGTTTGCAAATCTCAACACTATATCGATGGGCTGTCAGCTCAATAAAGCTTATCCACATTAAAACAAAATGAACATCTCATAATGTTCGAGCAAAACACTTGTGTATGTAAGTGCCTGCAGAACTGGGGTCAGGCTTATCAATTAATGAGTTTCCCTGCATCTATTTTTTCAGCTCTTCTTCTCTTGTGCTAGATCCTGATATCAGAATGAAAGAAGGGAACATTTCCACTTCATTATTGTCTCTGAATTTGCTCTGAATTTTTTAACCTCTCTCTTACTTTAAGTCACCCTTTGTGAAGACCCTTATGAGAAATATTTACAGGTTGTTGGTATGCATCAACCTACTTCTGATGTTTCTTGGTCTGCTGCTGATTATTTGTATGAGCTGCAAATAATGCTAATATACCGCTAAAGTGACTGCATTCTTCTTTAAACTGTCATTTCTTTCAAATCCTTGCACTAAAAGAAGTTAGGCCTCCAACATTATTCCAGGCATATTATCGAGAAGAACAGTTCCTGGAGTAGTGTTAGAAGTCCACTCAATAGCTGCTGGCTGCTGATGCCATATTAATCACACAGAAGCGGGAAGCAGAATACACTTGCAAGTCATTACAGAAACCAGAGGTTAATTCTCTGGTAATACAATCCTCCAGTACGCAGAACTATGAACTGTAAATACAGTCCTCTTTAAAAGCAATAATAGACCTAGTGGAAATAAAATCCTATGCAACCTCCTATGCCTTTCAGCTTTCCAAGTGCACTAGAGCATAGCTGAACAGAAATAACAACTACCTCCACCAGCAGCATAAACAGAATGAGCACCGCTGAGATTAGATATCAAGACAGCATTCTTCACACAAAGATGTAGCAAATAAAAGTGTATCACATCATCGAAAATCATCTGTTTATAAAATCACCTACTGAGGGAAAATTTTCTGCTGTTTCATTCACAAGCTCAGCAGAAGCATCCTATGTAATTCTTAAACTTTCTAAATCACACTTTGCTTCTTTTGTCTGGGAAATGTCTTTGGCCCCAATGAAAAAAGCATCATTAGCTACTTGATTTCAACTTTGGCATCTATAAGCTTTTTCCTGGAGCCAGTGATGCCAATGGAAAAGCCCCTGACTTCTGCAGGGTCCAGGAGGAAGCAACTTCGAACAAACTTTGTACGATTAAGGTTCCCCATCTTTCTTCAAACTCTGAACCAGTAAGAAAAACACTGTAGATCTGAAGCTAGGGGAAGATTAATGCTTTGTGTGCTAGGGAAGTTTTGCTGATAAATTAGGCTTGTTGAAATAAAAAAACGGAAAGATGCAAAATGATACAAAGGAGAAAGTAAGTAATTAAAGGCTTAAAACAGTGCAGTTGAAGTCAAACATCAAAACGAGAGATGGATGATTTACCTAGTTCACTGTCCAGTTCCTCCGTGTGTACCCCTTCTTCTCCAAGGGAAGAGCAGTAAATGAGACAGAAAAAATTAAAAGAAAATTTCAGATACCAGCACCAAGCAAGAAATTCCCTACAGCAAACACCAGAACCAGCACTAATTTTCTACAGACTGAGCCCAAGCTTTCCATTTATCATACTTTAGTGATCAGAATATTGATGGATCTGATGTAGATAATGAAAGAACTGGTTCTTGCATTCTCAAAAAATCTATATCAGTTGACTACCTTCCATGCCACAGTTTGATATGGCAAAGTAATATATTTGTGGTGTTCTCACTGTAGTGAAGCTTCTCCCTCAGATCTGTATGGTCCGACCGTTGCAATCCGTTCTGTAGACACCCGGATCTATCAGCAGGCCAGACCTGAATATCAATGAAGAAATCTGAGAGGAAAACCTTGCATCTAAATAAGAACTAACGTAGCAAGGTTTTCAAGAAAGTACCTAAATTTATGTGCATACAAGGTCCAATTGACTGCACTGTAACTACTCAGATGATTTAAGCTAGACATGAAGCGAAGCGCCTTGTTTAACTGGAGTCGCAGGCCCACACCAAAGTCCAGATGCACTGGTGAGGCATATACAGGAATGCACCAGTTTTAGTGGGGCACCTGGGACAAAGATCACATAATTTTTCAAACACACAAAGCCATCAATATTCACTGTTGCTCCATTTATCATTATCTGCTCCATATTCATAAGTTAACAGTGACACAGATGATTAAAGTATTGCTTAGCCTATAAATAATAATATGCAGTCTGGAAATGAAAGATGATGACAAAACCAGAACAAAGATGGTAAAAACAATCTTGGACCTAATACAGTAAAGTGTAAGCCACATAAATGAATGACAGAAGCAAACAGAAGATGTAGTGTCAAGCATTGCTTTTGAAAATTTGAACACCTGAAAAAACACTTCTGTGACCTGTTTGCAATATATTCTACCAAAACAGTTGTTTAGGACCTTTAGCGTGAAATATGAATTGCAGTTTCCTTTGATAGCCTGAACAACTGGAAACGACCAAAAACTTGTTAGGGACATGTATCCTGACAAAGAAAAAACACAAGGCAACTGCACCCAAAGAAATCTGAAACAACATCTAACATTTATAAAAACCACAAACAGGATGGGATCAAGCCTGAAAACTCACGTGCACACACACAGCAAACAAAACAGAGGAACAGAGGAGGAGTCCCACTGACTTCAGTGGAAATACTCCCAACAGTGACCCTTGCCAAAAAACGTACAACTTCTATGATGCAGTAAAAATAACCTTCTCTCTTCTTTGTGCTCACATTGTTTTCTAAAACATAATTATTCTTATGTGCAAAGCAAGACCAGAGCAGCCAAGCAAAACAGTGCAGTGCACTGCTGTACCTATGAAGCAACTGGTTTAACTATTGAATGTTAAAAATATCCATTAATGAGCAACTTAGTGAATGAAGTGAAGGGGTGTGGGGGAAGATGAAATTAGCTGATTTTAAGGACCTGATAAACAAAAATGCTACTACTCTGTAAAATTATGAACTTAACTACCCAGCTGTATGTTTCTAATCCCAATTAAATAAATTATCCCAATGCTTGTTTTATAATTGCTAAGATGACAAGAGATTTGAAAGATTTTCCCTTCTGCGAGGAGACTTAAAACTGTTTAACAGAGGAGCCCAGCCACCCGCTGTTGACTCATCCTACCAGCTGCTCCTTGCCCTGGCTCAGAGCACAGCGCGGGACGCACTGACCCACAGCAGCACGTGCTGCTTGCTGGCATCACCGGGGCTATCGACGTAGTGGGAGTCTTGCTGGTAGAGAAAGCCAAGATAGAAGTTGCGCTTCAAGGAAAACTACCTTCTGAAAGAGGAAAGCTTGTGCTGAGACTTAGCAACCTCCTCTCTAAATTGCCAGCAATGCTTAACTGCAAGGAGGAGGGAGCTTTGCCTGCGTACGCTATTATTTAATTTTGTTCCAGTTCTGATTACCCACTGACATATCCATTTTTAGGCGCAGAGCAGAGCAAGGCCTTCATTAATCCTGCTCCCTCCACTCGCTCCTTGACAGACGATGCCAGTTGCTAAGGATCTGAAGCAGGCATCAGCTCAGTATGCTTGGTTTTTGCCTGGGCTTTGCACATCCTTGCGGTCTGGGTGCATGCTGCATTGTGCACTAAGAAGTTGGTGACCTGCTTCATCATGGCAGCGAAGGCTGCACAGGCAAATTCTCATGTCCTGCAAAATCTCACGCGTGAAAGGAAGCAGAGGTTGAAAAACTGCATGTGCAAAAATAGTAACAGCAGTTCTGGAAGCCAGATTTGAACCTACCAGTAAAAAGGGATGAAGTAAGTTGATCCTCTTCCAAAGTAGAATCATAACTCTCATTGAGCTGACTCACACCAGTAGGAGGTTAGTCATATTATGAAAACTAATTTTACAAGGACAGCATCAACACTGACGACGTAAACCCTTCCATTTTTAAGATATGTCTACCATGATAGCATTGGGCTAGCCAAAATCATGCATTAGAATACCATCACCTTTCCTGGTCAGTAGACCAAAATTTCCACACAGGTTTTCCCAAACATTTAATCATCATGATGACCTTTTTCTTCCAACATCTCCTAAAGGATGCAGCGAAAGAACCTCCTTTAACAGTCCTGCATTTGGTTGCTCTAAATTGGACAGTGGCTTGCATTTCCAACATCTCAAGGAATACAAAATTACATCAGTGTAAATTTTCCGTGGCAAACACCTACGCTTTCAAATGGAATTTGTTTTCAGCAATCATAACTAAGTGGACTGTCAGAATTTAACAGCAGAAGTGAAGCAATTGAGTTATTTCTGCTCAAACAAGGAAATAATAACATAACTCTCTCAAATTCATGTAAAGCAGCTGGTTGAAGCGTAACACAATGGAGCACGCAGAGACTCAGTTGCTTTCCTCCTAACACAGCGATCCAGGGAGCGAATATGTTAGAAAGCTTTGAGTCTTGTTCAGCATCAGTGACTATTCAAATGCCTTTGCAAAAACAGAGGCCTTTTACTTCTAGCACCTCTTTGATTTTTATTAAATGATCTGCCATCTCAATGGCTATCTTACATACAGACAGTGATTTTATAACAACATAACAGATACTGTCTCTATGCACTTACTAATAAACTTTTTTTTTAAAAAAGTATTTCTGAACACAGGTTATCGGAAAAGGGAAAAGGAAAGGAAGAAAGCCATCTAGAAATGGACCAAACACATTATTATTTCACTATTTTCAGTCTCTTACCATCATCTTCACATTCTTCTAGAGGCTTCTGCTGTTTGTTCAGGCACCGTGGATCTAGCCAAGATGTTGTTTTTGTGTTATGGCTGGAAATCAAAAATGGAAATATGACCTTTGTTAATAAAGCAGAGCTGAAGTATCAGTGACATAAAAGTATATATCCTCTTTGTTATTCAACAGACCTGAAGACATACTTTTGCTTCAGAAGGGCTGGCATTACAATTTGATGTTTTGCAAACTAGTCTACCAAATCACAAGAATTTTGGCATTGAAACACAAACGTGAAAAGTGAAAATATACACATCAGCATTCCTGACTGGAAGGACGCATATGAAAGCTGCAATATTGTAATATTAATTTCCAAACTTTTGTCTCTGGTGGTTTGTTTCTTAATACCATTTGCCGCCTGATGAAAAGACAGAAGTTTCCCTTCCTCCCTAAACCATGCAGTGATCTTTGTTCCTGCAAAAGACCTTTGACATTTGCCTAGATTTGACCTAAGCATTAGTCAAGAACAAAATTTCCAGTGAAAACTTTTTAATTACACAAATAAAAATGTTCTGTCAAAGCCTTTGATGGAAGTTGAACAGCTTCACTTTCAACTCTTCCTTTCTACAAGTGCCCTGACAGCATTGCGATGCCAATCCCAGCGGTGAAGGCTGCATAGTAAACAGGCTTAAAATACATTTTTCTAGAAATTATTTTCTCCCCTCGTTTCATTTGCATATGGAGACAATCTTGTAATATTACGCCTCTTCTCCAACCTGATGTCATCTTAGACATAACCTGCAAAGATAGCCCTCCAGTCCCTGAGGTATCATTTATCTAGCTTAGCCTTTAACACTGCTTAACAGTTTTAAGTTTCAATACCATAGTAATGCTATTTACTTCTCCTTCAAGGTCTCAGAGAGGTTTATAAACTTAACCTTAGCCTCACAACAGTCTCATGAAGCTGGAAATGCTGTAATGAGGGCTATGATTGCTGAGGAATTAACAACCGACCAGCAATCTTCTATTTTACTGCAAGAAGAGGGGACTGCCCTGCTCCTAGGATCTGAGTGCATAAATAAAAGGTCCTTGTTTTACACATCCTACTACCCGCCCTCCCAAGGCAGGATGAGCAAATGCATTTAATCCTTTTGTACGCTTCAGAGCAATTAACCACCAACTAGAAAACTGAATAGCAGAGATCAGCAAGTCAGGTAAA